AACTCAGTATTCAACTCAGTATTCAAATATGGTGAAAGGATTCATTATCTTCTTGTTCACATGTACAGGTTCCACGTGAGCCCAATTAAGTGTTCTAGCATTCCCTTTCTTTGCAATGTTATCCAAAGTTATCTGCACAGCCAATGCCTTTGCATACTCAGTGAAACACAAGTAAGCATCTTCCGTATATTGGAAAGCTACACAGGCCTAGAAAGCTCTGAGTCTGGGTCCCAGTTGCGGTCACAGAGTTGTGCCGGGAACTCCCACTGTTCCCTTTTTTGTGTATTGGAAGTGCCTTAGTGTGTGTTGCAGCTGTCACTGCTACAGGAAGTTGATTTGCAGATATTTTCCACTGGCTGTTACAATAAAGAGTACTGTGTGGCCAAAATGAATTAGAGAGTTGATAATCTCTAAATAAAACACAAGTAAGCATCTTTCTGATATTCTCTGCTTACAGCTGTGATCCATGTGATAGCAGCAGTGATACCTCTCATTTCGTGTCCTCTTCTGAATCCAGCCTGATCCTCGGGCAGCTCCCTATCGACATACTGCTGAATTATTTTTAATGACTTTCAACAAAATTTTACTGGCTTGTGATACTGGTAATATTGTTTGATAACTTCTGCCTTCTGTTTGGATGCCTTTCTTTGGAGTGGGCTCAAATACAGATCTTTTCCAGTCAGATGGCCAAGTAACTCTCTTCCAAATTTCATGGCATAACCGAATGAATGCTCCCAGTGCTGAATCTGTTTTAAGAAATGGTTTCAGTTGGTATTCTGTCAATTCCTGGAACCTTGTTTTTTCCTGGTGCCTTAAATGCAACTTGAGCTCTCCCTTCAGTCTGGTTCTTTACCCTATGCTGTCTCTTAAAATGGCTGATTGTTGGCCAGCTCTTCTGACAGAGTGCATTCCTTCTCTCTTCTTTTGACACTTCCCGTATTAGTCAATACTTTCCCCATAGAACCCTTCAATATTTCAATTCAAGGTTTGAATTTTTTCTTCAGTTCTTTCAGATTGAGATATGCTGAGACTTTTTTTTGGCTTTCTAACTCATGTTTTCACACATTTCATCATAATGCTTTACCTTATCTTGGTTTTGAAATGTTCTGTTAGCTCGTCTGCATCTTCATTGCTTACCTTGGCTTTACTTCAAGAACAAGTTTCGGGGTCTCTTATGACATCGCCTTTGGTCGTTTCTTTCTTTCTGGTCTTTTTAATGACCGTTTGCTCTCTTCATGTACGATGCTCTTGATGTCATGCTGCAACTCATCCTATTGTAGTCATTAGTGTTGATGTTAAGTTGGGTTTTCTGAGAAGCAAAACTAGTGATGCTTCTTGTGCTTGCATCTAGAGAGAGATTTATATAATGAACTAGGGTTACACATTGTAGAGTAGGTAAGCCCAGTGAGGTTCAAGTCCGTAGGTCAGATGTCAGCTAGAGGCTTCTCCTGACTTGTGTAGCTGCAGGAGCTGATGAACAGGAAGCAGGAAGACAAGCAGAAGGGTGCATGCAGAGCTGAAGGGATCTGAGGTAGGCCAAATGTATCCAAGGTCAGCAGTCTACTGATGGCTCCTTGGATCAGCAGGTGACACAATAGGAGATGGACGAACCAGGAGCCAGATTCCGATCCAGCAGAAGGAGGAGGAGAGAGAGAGCTCCATTCACTAGGGTCTCCCTATACAAACAGCCACACTCT